TAAAATCTATGTAGCTCACTCTACCTGTCACCCTAGGGAAAGTGCCTTTCAATTTCGTTGACACATAATTTTATTAGAAGTATCTTGAAATGTCAGGCTAACCATCATATGGAAAAGGGACTGTCCAACACTCTCAGCAGTGCCCAAACAGAAGCTCGTGGCGGGTAAAGTTCATGGAAGAAAAACTCATTCTTCTTGACAGCAGGCTTCCCAAAACGACAGCTCGACTCCAAAAAGGCAACACCATCAAAGCTTTTGTAGGTTTTGCCCAAGGGCCAGGTTCACGTATTTAAAATAGGAGTGATTCTGATATATTTGCACATTATTTGCATATGTCTATCTGGTCTTCAAATTAAAGTTCTATTATGACAGTTCTTACTGTGGCCATTTTGTAAATTTAGTTTCTCATTTCTTATTTCCATCCTTAAAAAAAAAAAAAAATCACTCATACCCTCCATATCAAAAGGATGTATACAGCTGGGGAAAGAATGAAGATAAACTGCAAGAAATATTTTCCAGGGCTCTGTTGATCTCTGGGACAGAGTCTGGAGAAAAGAGTTCTATAGGAAATGACAAGCAAAAGTTCTTTCTGCCTTCAAACTTCAATGGGGAAAATAGTATATTATTATGCTCAGTCTATTTTACCATCAATCAACTATCATAGTATTCTTAAATAAAGCTAAAAGTGTAGCAATACTCTAAACCAATGGGGCTCAAGCTTTTTGATCTCAGGACGCATTTTCACCCATAAAACTTATTGCAAAAGCTCCATCAATATTTACCATATTAGAAATTAAAATGAGAAATTTTTAACTTCATTAATTTTTATTAATTCATCTTAAAATAAAATAAACCTATTATATGTTAACATGTTAAATGTTTTTTTGAAAAATAACTATTTTTTTAAAAAATTAGTGAGAAGAATGGCATTGTTTTGCATTTTTGCATGTCTCCTTAATGTCTGGTTTAATAGAAGACATTCTACTTAATAGAAGACATATGTGTTTCTTCATTCAATTTTTTTGTGACACATTGTTTTGCTTGAAGTATGAAAAATTTGCCTCACACAGATAGATGTTAGAAAAGGGAGGCTGCAGCGCAATGAATTACTTAATATAGCCCTTCTAGCCATGGTCTTTGTGACTCCCACCCAAGTGATTGGGTGGGACTGTGCAAATGAAGTAATTGTCGCCTACCAAGGGGACTGGTCCGTTTTACCATCCTGCTGGGCTTAAAAGAGAGCCAATTTCAGAGCAGAGAGAGGATCTCACTACCACCGAGGAAGAAAATCCAAGAATAGACTGTGTCTTTTGGACCCGGGATCCCTGTGCTGTGAAGCTCCTGGAAGCGAGAGACTGAGAGAGAGAGAGAGCTGTAACACTGAAGATGCCACGAAGTGGTGACAGAGAAACGGCGGCAGGGAAGACAGACAGGAGATGGAGTGGTGGGCTTCCCAGCCCACGGAGTGAGAAAGCTGAGTGCCTTTGGGCAGGAGTCTTGCTGGCAGAGTAGGGTGCCTCCAGGCACTTGGTGGAGCTAGGTTTGCTGACCCATGGAGCTAGATCTGAGTACCTTCGGGCTTAGGCTTACTGGCAGAGAAGGGGTACCTCTAGGAACTTACTAGCAGAGCTAAAAGAGCCTTGTAACACTTGCCAGAGCAGGGCAGAGAGAGGCCTGCCAGCCTGCAGGCACAGTTGAGAAGAGGCTGTCCTGACAGAAGAACCATATCCTGAGCATTCCTGAACCTGAATTGTAACTTTTTTACTTCCCTAATAAACCCCATAATTGTGAGTATTTTCTGTGAGTTCTGTGTGGCCATTGTAATGAATTATTGAACCCAGCAGAGAAGTAGAGAGCGCCGTGGGAGGGACGGTTGGTGTCAGAATTGGTAAAGATGGCAGAGAGAGGAGGCATGTCTGATCCCTGCCCCATAGGAATCGACCTTGGGCTGTTGACCTTGATTCTCCTTCCCCCTTGTGAAAGTTAGAAAGGAGGTCAGATGCCGCCCCCACACCATTTTTACAGAGGCATATTTTAATAACCTCTTCAAATAATCGTGAATATTCTCTTACGCTACACAAAAATGTGACAAGTAGTAGTTCCTTAAAAAGTTGATTGCATTATGGACTCAAATACCACACACTGATTAACTTTTCCTACTCTGTTACATTAAAATCTATTGATCTATCTTGCTCTTTGAATGGATCTGTTAACCAGGGTTTTGTAACATTATGCACTGGTCATTTGGAAAATATTGGTTCCCTGAGTCATGTAAATTCTCCAAATGTTGACACATTTCATTGCATAATATTAAAAAAAAGTCAGATTTGTTAATATTACCACCCATCTCATCAGAAAAATCTAAGTATTGGAAAACTATCAAACTCATCATGGTAAATACAAGTTTTCCAAAATTCTAATTTCCCTTAAAAGTTCAAAATTTATCGCTGGCAACAAATACTATCAGTTGTTTTCCTAGAAGTGACATGTTCATTTTGCTCATTTTCAATAAAATGTCTGCCCAATATCCAAGTCTGAATCACCATGGTTTGTCAGCTGCTGTTTTTTTTTTTTTTAAATGGTGTTCTAAGAAAGCAGCTCATCTACACTCACTCACACACATGATAACCATCAGACTTTGATATGCAGCAGAAGTGCCTTAGACACATTACTCATTTAATATTCCCACAGAATTTAAAATACATATTCAAGGAGACATATTTATAAATTTAATTGATTCTGCTGTTTCATAAGAACACTCTTAAGTGAAACTGGCTTTTGTTTTGTTTTGTTTCTTTAAAACTACAAGTCTGTGGCAGTGAAGAACATGACCACTAGTTTGGTGCCACCTCTTTGATTCATGGTGAGGTGCCAGTTTTACCATCGCAGCTTTTGCAGCATCGGTGCAAATACCAACATAACGAAGAAGGCAAATGATGGCTTAGTTATATTATAAAAATAGCTCTGACCTCACAGACCCCCTGAAAGGCTCTTGGGGACCCCTAGAGATCTGTGGACCTCACTTTGAGAATCACTGTTCCCAAAAGCCTGTATGGATTCTCATCACTACTTAGAAACCACAGAAATTATAAATTACCATAAATCTATACTGTCGCTAGCATAAAATCAGATTTAAATGTGGTTAATCATACTGATGAGGTGATCGCATATTTCCCATAAAAATCAAGAGGGGTTTCTATTTATTTCCCCTTTGGGAAACCTATAAGTGGGCTTCCCCTAATTAAAGACAATGACAATCTAAAATTTAACCCCCCTTCAAATTCTGAAACCAATGCATAGGGTTAATACATGGAATTTCATCATACATGAAGAAAGGAGAGGAAAAAGCTAGAAAATAATTTTTTTCATCTAATTTGATATGTTCTTTTTCTTTCAGTGACTACAGTTTTCATTTCTAGAATGTCTATTGGTTCTTTTCCAATTTCATCTGTTTATGTTTTATGTTGTCTTGTTATTGCTTTAAAGATTCTCTTCTACCCTTAATAGTCTCTTTCAGATTATTACATTATCTAGTGTTTGGGCTGTGAAGTCCACCATTTATTGTGTCTGCTAACTCATTTGCAGCTGCTTCTTCATTTGGATTATAATTTTTGACAATATGCTTGTCTTTAGTGGGAGTTATTTTCGATAGGAGTCCTGCATTTCCTGGGTTGGTCCCTATGGGGCCGTTCTGGTTTTTCCTTGCTGCAGTCCTATAATGTCAGGACTAGTTTTAAGGTTAATTTTTCAGAGTTTCTGCGTTTCACAGTCAGTGCCAAATTGGACACCACAATTGTTAACGGCACAGGTCTGGGAGACTAATTTCTCTTGGGTGACTCTTTTTCCATCTCTAATCTAGGCATGTAGCTAGTTTCCTTGCTACTCCCCACCCCAAAGCCCACTCTGAAATCTTTAGGAAGAGATGACTTTTATTCTATATTATAGAAAAAGAGAAAACTGGACTAGGCTCCTTCTCAACTATGTACCAGTTACATCAGAACATAAAATTTTCCCTCTCTACTGGGTCATTTTCATTAACATACGATATATTGTCTCTCCCATCTCAAGAAAACTTGTCTTGACCCTGCTGCTACCAAATGCTGTCACCCCATTTCTCTACTCACCTTTACAGTAAAACTCCTTGAAAGCACTGTCTTTACTGACTGACTCCAATTTCTCTCCTCTCATTATCTCATAAACCCACTGAAAATATGTTCTTTTCCTCATCACTTTTAAGAATTATTCCTGTCAATGTTATCAATGACCTCCATGTCACTGGTCAATCCAATGGTCAATTCCCTGTCCTCATCTTACTCAACTGATCAGCAGCACACTGAGCAGCACAAATGAGGATCTGACACTAACCGTGTATTTCTAATCAGCCACTGTAAAGGTTTCTTAAATGGTTCAGCACAATGGAGTTTAGAAGATATTATTTTCAAAATGCAGCTTGTTTTTAAGATTTTTATTTAGTTGTTTAAAAATATATAGTCATAGATTTTATTTGCAAAAACGCAAAGGCCTTAGAAGGCAGTGAGTTTATGATAATAGGGGAGGAACAACTCAGAAAAGAAGGGTGAGAATGATTGCATAACTCGAAGAATGTAATCAATGAATTGTACATTGTTGAACTGGTGTATGTTTTGCCGTGTATATTCACCACAACAATAACAAAATAAATACAAGTTAAAAAAACTATAAGGAATCTAGGTGCTACCTTTAAAAATAACATAAAAATGCAAAACTCTGTTATTTTGTCCACTCTTTATATGACATTAAACATCCTAGCTGTGTGCTTTAGTAAAGCAATTGCTTTGTTGCCAGCTGTGGTTTTAGGTGTATTAACGTATGAAAAATTCTCTGAATAATAAAAATACAAGTAAGCACTATTGATCTAGGAATTTCTACAACTTATATAAAATTTTAAGTATACATAGCAAATTAGGGTGAGGAAGAAACTCCCATCAAATGTAAACACTTCTGCACATGAAGAGACTTACCTGTATGCTGTCAGATGTTTCTGCAGGGCAATTGCAGCCATCTGAAGCCTGGCCTCCACCACAATCTCCAACTCGCTAGCAGAACACTGAGAGAGGTCCTTGTGGCCTGAATAATCCATCTCTGATATAAGGAAGGTTAGCCTCTCTTCTGCTTCCAACAGTAAAATTGACTAGAGAGCACCACACAAATACATAAGTTCAGAAATAATGCAAATAATGTCTCATCCTCATTCATCAAATATTTTTCATTTTGAAAAGTAACAATGAATGAAAGGCCAAAAAGGAAACTGATATCTAATCATCACAGAAGAAGAGAGCTCACTGAATAGGAAAAAGGTAACAGAATGACAAGGAAAGTAACAGCAAGAGTTACTGTTAGCTTCCACGGAGTCGGCCCCCACTCTGACTAATGATGGCCTCATGAACAGCAGAATAAAAGGCTGCCCAGTTCTGCGCCTTCCCCATGATCAGTTGCAGATCAGACTGCTATGATCCACAGGGTTTTCGCTGGCTGATTTGAGAAGTAGAACACTAGGCCCTTCCTCCTAATCTTAGTCTGGAAGCTCCACTGAAACCTGTTCAGCATCATAGCAATGCACAAGCCTCCACTGACAGGGGTGGTGGCTATGCACAAGGTGCATTGGCCAGGAATCAAACCTGGTCTCCCGCAAGGAAGGCGGGAACACCACCACTGACCCACCACTATCCCTATTATGTACAATAGTTACCTTTTATTATATGTATTTCAAGCTAAACTACAGTCACCAAACTGGTAATGTGAAGGTAATAATTTTTATAGTGGACCATCCATAGCAAATAGCAACTTGACACAGCAGAAAAGAAAGGAACCAACAAATCTTATAAACAACAGGTCTCTAAAAACTTGTCTATACAGAGCAGTGACTATTATATAAATACTAGGGCAGTTTAATATAATAATTAAGAACATATAAGTTTGAATTAAAAATACCTAGGTCCTACTATCAGTTCTGTCATTTATTAGTTGCATGATATAAGTTAATTTCTTATACTTTCTAAGCCTCAGTTTTCTCATGGTTCAGTTAAAAATGATTAATATTCTGCTATGTATATTCTCACCACCAACAACAAAAATAAAATAAATTTTAAAATAATTAAAAAATAAAAATAAATGATTAATATTTGCATCAGAGAGTTGTGAAAACTAAATGATCATGTGAAGTACCTGTCACGTAGTAGGAACTGATTTAATGGCAGCGGTTGTTGTTGCTGCTGTCATCACTATTACTCAAAGACAGGTACCTCTGGGCATTTACTTTCCTCACGGGGAGTAAACTCCATCTCTGCTCCCAACTTATGATTATGTAAGAAAAGCCACCCGGTCTTCCAAAAGCAAGCACAGACCTGAGAGTGGACCTGGCCAGGACCTAACAGGGGACATTTTAGTAGTAGTATTATTATGACTTGAAAAAACTTTCAAACTTACCTTTAGTGTGCTAAGAGTGAACTCATCTCCAATTTTTGTAAGCTGAGTATTTGAGCCACCATCCTCCTTTAAAAGTTCTATAAAGACACAAAATTTTTTGAAGAAAAATAGGTATCTGTAGTTAGTTTAAATATTAATTCTATTTTTTACAGCTCATTATAGTAGGGAAACTATCCATAAATTTAATAATAAAAACAAACACAATGATAATTAGAAACATATTTCCATACCAATTAACGTATAAATACCATACATTAGAAGTCTGATTCTTACAATGACTAAGACAATTGTGAAAGGATCTTTTGGATGCTTAATGAAGTTATTCAAGCTATCAACTACTAATTTAAAACAGCGGTTCCTCCTCTGGAATGCTAGGACACCTTAGAGCCCTCATTTGGATGTTCCAGACATTTCCATTTTTTTCAATAAGATCTCTTTGGAAGCGTCAGTTCTACCGATTTGCATAAACTGCCTTACTTTAAGAACAGAAGAGAGAACATCTGAAACAGCGCAAATCTCTCTCAAAATTCCTGCCTCACAGCGGCCATCTAAGATACTCCACTGGTCTCATCCCTTCAAGAGCAAGACAGAATGAAGAGAACAGGATACAAGGAAAAGATTAGTCCAAAGGACTAATTGTCCACAGCTACCAAGGCCTCCACAGGACTGAGTCCAGTACAGCT